CCCCCCCGCACCCCCCCCCCCGCCCCCCGCTACGCCCCTGTGTAAACCATGTCTCGATAACACGCTAAAGCGGTCAGAAAGAAAGTCCTTACACACAGCAGCGGCCTCGCACACAATGTCTGTGTAAACAAAAGTAGAAAATAAGCACACCTCAATACGACACAGTAGTCAACAAACGCACATCGATCATGATAACACTCGTGTCGCCCATAGACACGTTTTTTCTGTTGAGATCATCAGACGTGAGTGGCTAGTACATAGTTACACTGTCGGTCCTTGGGCAGGTGGAGTAGAGTTGACCTGTTTCTGTGACTCCGGCATGGTAAGCAATTTGCTCAGCTGTCTTTACTTTGTCTTACATGAGTTAGGCACCTATCCGAGCTGTGTAGACTCAGACACGCTTTGCAGACACTACTTCAGGACCCAAACTCAAGACTTTTGGGTAAGCAGTCGTACTTTCTACCGTCCAACCACAGTGTCTCAAATACACCTTAAATACTGGGAATGTTTTGGCTGATGGGTGCAAAAAAAAGAGAAATATTAAGCTCATTCTTGTAAATCCTTCCCAGAGGCGTAGCCAGGGAGGGGGGGGGGGGGGGCGGGGGAGGGGACCTCAGGTGGCGTCAAAATGGGTTGGAAAAATAAATTTAAAGGCTGAGGGAGGTGCAAATCGAAAGTCTGAGAGGGGGGGGGTGCAAATCGAAAGTTTGTCCCCGGGCGCCGGGAAGGGTCGCTACGCCTCTGAGCCTTACGCAATGATATGCGTATTTGGGCATAACGAATACCCAGCAAAAATGAGTTTTTGAGGGTAGTGCTTATTTAGCCGTCGTGTTTTTCATTCCTAAATAGGACATTATTTAAGAAATACTTTTTGTAAGACGTCTTTATCTAAAGCTAGGGTAGTAAACGGAGCAGCCTCCGACTCAGCGGCGAAATGAAACGCTTCGTTTTTGACAAATCATTGACCCCATTGGGAGACGCGTGTTACGTCACGCTACGTCACAAACAATGGTCTCGTTTTGGAAAGGATTTCCCCAGAGAAGTGAAGAATCATTGGTCAATTTGATTGCACGTGAATAAGTGATGCCAGCCTTGGCTTGGAATGTAGTTACAAGCTTAAAATACATTCTACTGGTAATTATCGTTTAATTACTCTGCAAAAAATAAGTTACATTTTTATTCATTCATTTTTAGCTTAATGAAAATGAAATAGCTTACCAGATGATTTTTTTTAAAAGAAAAAAAAAGCCTAAATTCTCGTATCTTTAGGAATATAAATATTGAAGTAGTCTACATAGCCTCGAAGTGCAGATCCTATTTCTTGACGCCAATGCGCTCATCCATGATACATTTAAGCAAATAGGCATATATATATATATATATATATATATATATATATATATATATATATATATATATATATATATATATATATATATATGTATGTATGTATGTATGTATGTATGTATGTATGTATATATATATATATATATATATATATATATATATATATATATATATATATATATATATATATATATATATATTATACTATGAACTAGCTCAGTAGGCATTTATTTTCCACTAATGGGTACTCAAGATCTATACATAAACTAGGGCTAATAAACTTTAATTCCAGGCAATTTTCTCATTTAAGGTGTTTGTTTGTTTGTTTATTTTATTAAGTATACCGCACACAATTCAAAATCGATGGGGAATTTTCCTCTTTGTGTGGAGAGCCCGGCCGACTAAAATGTCACAGCTCCGCTCACAAACATTCAGGCTTGAATTTTCAACCAGGTGACAGATGGCAACCGACATCAATAGTGTGAAATTGTTTCGCTTAATTCAGTTGCAGTTTTATGTTTTTTTAAGCAACGTATTCGTTATAGTGTTTCGAAAACGTGTTAATGTAATTCAGGGGGACATAACCACCTCTTAAATTGTATGTTTGTTTATATAGTCTTAATAGTATTTATGCACAGCTAGATCTATACTTATTTAAATTGTAAAGTTCCATAAAAATAAACATTATTTAAGTAGATTAACGTAGATACGTTGATAGGAAAATTCAAACTGTCAATTTTGAGTTTTTTAATGATCATTTTCGCTTAACTTAAAATCGTGTCCTTCCTGAATACATGTGAATGTAATGCAAGCATGGGCGTAGCGCCCCTCCCGGCGCCCGGGGACAAACTTTCAATCTGGCTCCCACCCCTCAATGTTTGTTTTATATTTATAATTCAAAACTGCAGTTAAAAAATTATATTTATAATTCAAAACTCTAGCTAAAATTAGCGCCCGGTGACATATGTACCCCCCCCCCTCCCGTCGCTGCAAAAAAAAAAGAAATCCAGTGCTGGACATCTTATCGCCTAAGGGTTCCTCTTTATACAAAACGACAAACTTATAACACTTGACAATATAAAGCTCACAGATGTATCAACATAATCCAATTCACCTGAAATGCGTCTCTGTTTTTATACACTATTCTGTTATCACGGCTTTGTTAGAATAAACTTCAACATGGGAATTAGCTGTTGCATGGTATAGTTACTCGTAGTTCAGTCCCATTTAGGCCTATAAGGGGGTTAACTCTAATGGTTTAAATTGTGTTTACCATACGCAGACACCATTAAATAGACAGCAAGGGGGAATCACTCTTAACATTTGGGAAAAGGACTTGGCCAGCTATATGGGATGGCCAACACACTATTGACCTGTTGCTATACGTGTTAGGATATTGGTTATAGTGGTATGTAGAGGACAGTTTTAGTATTAGATAGTCTTCTTCTTCTTCTTCGTTCTTAATTTTTAGTGTTGGAAGGGATCGAGCCTTATTTGCCAGAGGGTATGAAATCAAGGCTTTTATTTCGAATTTATCAACCATGAGCTTTTGCCGACTCGACCACGCCTCCATCACAATTGAGGATACGTGTCAACGGGTTATGCGCCATTGAGGCCATTGACTCCGATTTCAGCCTGCTTTTCTTTTTGGATTTGTGTCCATGGCCTTTGTCCAACCAAGAACTAATTACAAGGCAGCAGTTGTTTGATTTTAGAGTTATCTCTCCTAGAAGAGTGGCTGTACCCAGCTTAACGAGCCTCATCTGCCAGAGGGTTCGAACTCGATACTTTTCGGTTTGGCAACCATGAGCTTTACCGACTCGACCACGCCGACCCCTTAGATAGTAGTGAAACTAATTTTCCGAACAAATGCAAGATCAGAAAATAATGAGACACAAATATGCATGCATGAGTCCTTTTGTTTTTTAAAGATAAAACGACCGTTCGCCTAGCCTAGCTGACTAACTGGTGGGCTTTATGAAGTCTAATGCTGGTACCCATACCATGATGAATAGGATGAAAGTCATACGGGGCTTTAAAAATTATATGGAAGGATTAGTAAGAACATTAACATACAGGCATACACACACGCACACATATTTTCATACTCGCACACATACAGCCACACATGAACACACTCTAAATGACAAGGAGACATGTTCACACTCACACACGCTCTCTCACATAGACACTTTCTCATAGACACACGTACATTTTCACATACACTCGCAGACAAACACATTCACACCGACACACACACACACACACACACACACATCCACACAGACACCCTCTGGCAGACACACACACCGTCACAGTACACCTCTTTCTGACACGCTCGTACAGACACGCACACAAACACATATAATCCCACACACTCACACGTACACTCTCTCTTAGACTTAATACGGACACAATCACTTATACATATTTATTTGTGTGTGAATATATATATATATATATATATATATATATATATATATATATATATATATATATATATATATATATATATATATATGTATATATATATATGTATATATATATATATATATATATATATATATATATATATATATATATATATATATATATATATATATATGTGTGTGTATGCATATATATATATATATATATATATATATATATATATATATATATATATGCTTCCTGAAAGTGCTGCTTAATTTAATTTCCTACCCTCGCCTCACTTAAACCTCCAGTCTCTGCACAGATTTAGTATTCGACCTTGACCTTTCCAGGATCGGCCGTCCGGGTCAAAGTGTCAGTCCCCTAAGCAAGGTCTGATCCTGTAAGACACGGCAACTCGCCGTTAGATTAGCGGCAGCATCAAACAGAAGCCAAACGCTAAATCGATACCGATACAATAGACACGGGCAAGGGGAGAGAACTGCGGGGATGCTGAGTTGTCTAGCTTTGAGAAGCAGAACTTGTATATTTTTTCGTACATCTACTGCTGTGAAATACGCAGGGTATTCGGAAGCAGGTTTTTTTTTTCGCCTAGAAAACTAATCCCTTCAACAAGAGTGTCAAGGGATTGGTTCTATTCTGGAAAAGATTTTTTTTTAAAATCGGTCCTTTTTTTTATAAATAAGTTAGTGCAGAATTAGTTGTCATTAGCATTTTTCTGGTAAAGTTGAACACACAAGAAATACCACAGGGGAATTTAGATCTTCACTTACAGTTAAACCCGGGTACAACAGCAGAAAGAAATGTTAAAGATCTAAAGTATTTTTAAAGTAGTTTTAAAAAGTAGCCAGATTTCGATGCATCTCTCTGCCAAATAAGACCTAGATATCCATTCGTATATTTTAAATTGCTTTAAAAAAAAAGTGCATGTTGTACACGATACATTTAGCTACCAATGCTTTATTATTCAGATGAGTAATTCGCTAATTATTTCTCAATAAGTTTACCAATTATTTATGAATGATTCATTCAAGCAGTGAACGTACTTCCAGACGAGCGATTCACTTGTCACTCTGTAACTATTGTTTAAAGTTGAAGCTAATCGTGTGAAGCTCTGTGCATCACAGTTATGAACGCAACCGTTTCTACAATTATAGATGAAGATGAATTAAACTTACTTGACTTAGTCCTGTTTAATCCTTGTGGAGCATAGGGCCTCAACCATGCCCCATAATTTTGTCCGGTCCTTACCCCTCCCCTACCCTTACCCTTACCCTGACCCTGACGGTGACCCTGACCTTAATCCTCATCCTTATCCTTACCCTTATTACCCTAGCCCTTACCCTTATTACCCTTACTCTTATTACCCTAACCCTTACCCTTATTACCATTATCCTTACCCTTATTACCCTTACCCTTATTACCCTAGCCCTTACCCTTATTACCCTTACTCTTATTACCCTAACCCTTACCCTTATTACCCTTACTCTTATTACCCTAACCCTTACCCTTATTACCATTATCCTTACCTTTATTACCCTAACCCTTACTCTTATTACCCTTACTCTTATTACCCTAACCCTTACCCTTATTACCATTATCCTTACCCTTATTACCCTTACCCTTATTACCCTAGCCCTTACCCTTATTACCCTTACTCTTATTACCCTAACCCTTACCCTTATTACCCTTACTCTTATTACCCTAACCCTTACCCTTATTACCCTTACTCTTATTACCCTAACCCTTACTCTTATTACCCTAACCCTTACCCTTATTACCCTTATCCTTACTCTTATTACCCTAACCCTTACCCTTATTACCCTTATCCTTACCCTTATTACCCTTATCCTTACTCTTATTACCCTAACCCTTACCCTTATTACCCTTATCCTTACTCTTATTACCCTAAACCTTACCCTTATTACCCTTATCCTTACCCTTATTACCCTTATCCTTACTCTTATTACCCTAACCCTTACCCTTATTACCCTTATCCATACTCTCATTACCCTAACCCTTACCCTTATTACCCTTATCCTTACCCTTATTACCCTTATCCTTACTCTTATTACCCTTATCCTTACTCTTATTACCCTTATCCTTACCCTTATTACCCTTATCCTTACCCTTATTACCCTAACCCTTACCCTTATTACCCTTATCCATACTCTCATTACCCTAACCCTTACCCTTATTACCCTTATCCTTACCCTTATTACCCTTATCCTTACCCTTATTACCCTTATCCTTACTCTTATTACCCTAACCCTTACCCTTATTACCCTTATCCTTACTCTTATTACCCTAACCCTTACCCTTATTACCCTTATCCTTACCCTTATTACCCTTATCCTTACTCTTATTACCCTAACCCTTACCCTTATTACCCTTATCCATACTCTTATTACCCTAACCCTTACCCTTATTACCCTTATCCTTACCCTTATTACCCTTATCCTTACTCTTATTACCCTAACCCTTACTCTTATTACCCTTATCCTTACCCTTATTACCCTTATCCTTACTCTTATTACCCTAACCCTTACCCTTATTACCCTTACTCTTACCCTTATTACCCTTACTCTTACCCTTATTACCCTTACTCTTACCCTTATTACCCTTACCCAGAGGGGGGGGGGTGATTGATTAGTGGGGTAATGTCGGGGAGGGGGCGGTAATGCCATGCCCCCAAAATATTCATCTCGAAGTGTTGTTTTTGTGACCTAACATGTAGCACTAAGGTTTTCAATGATACCAACCTAGTAATGTAGGTGAAGCTAGTTACGTGTTTAGTCATTTAGTGCAGGTATACTCTGCCCAAAACTCAAATATCGGTAATGGATTTATAATTAAGTACCGTTAATCCTGGCCCATCTAGTTTGTATCATTTATTTCAACGTTTACATATCCATTACTGGATTATTTGTATGATCAATGATCCATCATAGATGCTTCCAAAAATAGGTGTGTTAAGTAGTTAGAAGCATTTTAATCCCAGGTCTAATGTTAAGTTCAGAAACTAGAGTTACTGCTATGGTAGGATTTGTTTAGGTTTTGGTTTAAGGATAGTGTTAGTGTTGACATTAGCGAGACATATTTATATTTATTTAACCACAAGTAACATAACACCCTTTTATTAAAGAAGATTATATTACTTTAGCAGAATCGTTTGGTGGTCAAACACATTCCCCCCTATAAATTGGATATTTTAGTGTGCTAAGTCGACCATGTGACCCGTGTAGCGTATTAATTTCCTGCCCTCTTTTATCCAGAGTTTCTTCCAGCCCCCCCCCCCCGAATGAAATGGAGTTTATATAGAAAATATATACTTTTAACCTTGTCCGCCCCCCCCTGGAAATTTTAGTCGGCACCCCATCCGAAAATTACAATTGCCCCCCCCCCTTTCCCCCAGGAGAAAAAAGTCTGGAAGAAACATTGCTTTTACCTATATTCTACTATCTCTCACCTATTCTTTCACCCCCCCCCTCTCACCTGTGTTGAACTGCGTCATCCCGCATCCAAGCCAACATATCGTAATAGACCTAGAGTTGTCGTCCAACTACCAACGCAGTTCTTTCCCCTGCGTGTTGTTTTTTTTTACACCCTCGTTCTGTACACGTGTTTATAATTACTGCCGACACACCGTGTTCTAGCGGAGAATGCCACGAATCTCTGACACGCACACACACGTACACACACGCCAACACACATATCACCTTACTGAAATGTCAAATACCTCCCTCACCCCCCTTCCCGCATACACACACACACACACAAACATCCCATTTTATTCATTACAATCAGTGGACAAACCACCATTGAAATAAATGTGTACCTCAGAGAATGAGAGAAAAAAAAAACTAGAGATAAAAATAGTTTACAACCTCCAACCCCAATTTACACGCGAATTTTTATGATCATGAGACCAACCCACGCTTTCATTTCCATCTTTCAAAGCATCGCAATTTAATAACTACGATTCGCGAACATTTATTCCAACATTTTTTTTTATTAATCTATTCACTACGCAATCATTTTCAAAGTCCAACTACCCGCTCTATGTAAATACTTTTACATTGGTAGAAAAAAAAACTTGTGTGATGAACGAAATTTTAGTTATTTTAGAATCCAATTACCCGGTTACAAATGTGGGATATGAAACGATCGCATGACCAAAGTATCACTCACTGGCTCAAATTATGAGTAGATGTAATAAAGTCTCGCGCTAAAAAAAACGACACTCATTAATATAGTAGGTCACGAATCGCATTGCCGATTATTCCGAGAGTTGTCATAAAAATCTCTCCAACGCGTGGGATGAATCCTGTTTGTGAGAAAACGTGAAATTTATATTTTACCATAAAGGGATACAGTGTTTACTTGACATATATAATACGTTTTATAAGTACATTAGTTTGTGAGCTTTTATACATACATATTTATATATATATATATATATATATATATATATATATATATATATATATATATATATTATATATATGTATGTATGTATATGTATGTATGTACATATATATATATATATATATATATATATATATATATATATATATATATATATATATATATATATATATATATATATATATATATTTATATTTTTATATTTATATATGTATGTATATGTATGTATGTATATGTATGCATGTATATGTATGCATGTATATATATATATGCATGTATATATATATATATATATATATATATATATATATATATATATATATACATACATACATATACATACATACATATATATAATATATATATAATATATATTTATATAAATATATATATATATATATATATATATATATATATATAATGTGTGTATGTGTGTGTGGATTTACTTCGATGTATTTTCACAAATTATACCACATTCGTTGTAACCAGCAGATCCCAGGGCTTTATCTGTTGCCTTTTATATTCACCAAAAAACCCATTCTCATATCAAACAAATGGTGAACTATAAATATACTTACCTTCCGTCTTAATTGATTCTACCCCTCATATCCCAACACATTCACAACTGCCCATTTTCATGCCTTCCATAATATACGCCTCTGCCCCTAATACCCCAAACACAAACATACCCCTGAGGGTAAAACTGTCCGTCTGTCTACTTTCTGTCGTCTATGTGTCTGCCTGTTATCCTACCCCACCCATAAACACAAGCTCGGTGTAAAACTGTTACAGATGGTGATTGGTGCAAATCGTAGCGTTGCCATGGAGACAAGTGCTTCGCTGGCTGTTGAGAAGGTCGAGACCCTAATAGGTGTATACAGGTGGGCCGCAATTACATTTCTATACCATCTAGTAAGGTGGGCCGCATTTTCCCACGTTTTTTTGTTTCTATTCCATGTAGTTAGGTGGGCCGCCCTTACATTTCTATACCATCTAGTAAGGTGGGCCATACTAACATTCCTACATTTACTTCATACTAGTTTGGTTGGGAGTCCATACATTTCTACAGTAAAATACTTCATACTAGCTTGGTAGGCAATCCTTACATTTCTACAGTACCTAACTACATACTAGCTTGGTAGGCAATCCTTACATTTCTAAAGAAACTTCATACTAGTTTGGTTGTCAATCCTTACATTTCTACATCATTTTGTTAAGTGGCCAACCTTACATTTCTAGTGTCAAATCAAGTGGGACACATCGTTTTCCTCCATCTATCATGCTGTGAGTCCCATACAACCCATACTCAATTGTTGTAAGTCTCGTGACGTAAGCAACCCTCACATACTCCACCACATATTCAGGTATGATGCCCATATTTCCTTCATGTACTTTTCTGGGACATATACACATAATAACATACATTACTGAAGATCTATAAATAACTGCGAATAATAATTTCAGGCAATTCTATGGCCTCTTCTATGTTAATAATCAGCATGATTTATATTGCTTCAGTGGATATAACATTCGCGTAATAAATTTGCTTATTAGATTTTTAAATTGGGCTGCTTTGCAATAGATAATCATGAACTAAGCCTCTTTATAGTACGGGAGTTTAATTCATTATACTCTTCATCTAAGTTAATACACTCTGATCTCTATTAATAGCGTTTACAAGTATGGTGGTATGTGTTATTAAAAAAAAATGTCCAATAATAATTTGTTTACATTATTGCTTATAATAGTGCACATTCTTTATTGATGTGCAAACAGAAAAAAAAATTAAATCCAATCGATCGAAAAATTATTTTAACCAGATCGTAAATAAAGTTTTCTCTTCATACATGACAGGCCATGGGGAAAGTGAAGTAGAGTCCACCTGTTTCTGTGTCCCCAGATAGTATGGTCAGCACTATCCCAACAACGTAGCTATACAGACTCAATTTATGCAATAACGATAAAAATAGGCACGGTGCCTCTTTTCACACTGGCCGTTAACAACAACAACATAATAACAGCATTTTAATAAAACAAAACCCAGTGGAGTAGCCTTAAGAAAAAATAACTAAATTATAATCAGAGGATAAGTAAACCCAGTAGAGGTCGGCGTGGTCGAGTCGGTAAAGGTAATGGCTGCTAAACCGAAAAGTCTCGAGTTCGAACCCTCAGGCAGACAAGGCTGTGGACAGCCACTCTTCTAGATCAAACAACTGCTGCCTTGTAGTTTGTTCTTGGTTGGATACAGGCTATGGAAGCAAATCCAAAAACAAATCAGAGTCAATGACATCGTTTACTTATTTGTGTTATGTTTAATACTAAAATTAAGAACGAAGAAGAAGACCCAGGGGACCTCAACAACCATAACGTTAAACCGGAAATAAGCTCAACAAAATGAAATTGAAACCAGGACCCGGCGCTTTGGTATGCAAACTAAAACAACACAAAATAGAAACACGTGACACTTCTTGATCGTATAGCCATTGGACGTCCAATTTACATCTGAAATTGGACGTGGTAGTGCAGCTATTTCACAGGCAAAAACTGAATTTGTTGCGATACTATCGGTAAATAAAAATAGAGTTTGTAGCTAAGTACTTTGCTGTGGTTATATTTATATAAGCCGTCATAGGAAAAAGTTTTTATATGAGATTTTGTTTGATGACGATGTCCCCAAAATGACAAAAAGTTTAGGAAGAGAAATTTCAAATATGCAGTGACCGCTGGCCATATAATACTAAGTGCCAGCAATTGAATATGTTGTGCATCCTATAACTAACTTATCCGTCCGTAAAAATCATCTCTACCAAAACCACCAACTCCACCCAAATAACTAACTATATCCAAACAACTGACTCCACAAAAACCACCAACATCACCGAAACTGCCAACTCCACCGAAATAACATTCTCCAACAAAAATGACCAACTCCAACAAATCATCAACTCCACACAAATAACTAAATCTATCCAAACCACTAACTCAATTTTAAACGACCAACGTATCCACATAATTGCCTAACCTATCAATCTAAATGACCAACACAATTCAAGCGACCAACTTATGTACACACATACACAACCGACGTTCTCACATACACGACTTATTCCCCCCACCTAACACACACATTCATGAACAACTCCACCTTATTTACCAGCCCCACCCAAACCCTGAACCCTCCCATGAACCCTACACTCGATACATCACGTTCCACCTC